GACGACAGGCAGAGCACGGGGACGCGCGGCACCCGCCAGATCACCGCGCGCTGCAAGCGGCAGACACGGCCAACATCAGCTCTATGTTTTCACATCTTTAAGGTTGAGGAAATTCTTCTTCTCCTCCTTTTTTTGAAGAGGTGCAGCATTCTCCACTATAAAGGGGACAAGGGACGCAGTCAGGGAACAGCAATAGTGCGTTTGGTGTGTGAGCACCCAGCTATGGCAGAGCGGTCCCCCTGTCCCTACTGCTTTCAGCGTCCTCAGCGGGCAGGGGAGCGTCGGATTCGGCGAAGAGGAAAGGGAGGCACAAGCTGGACGACGCAGTTTGTCTGGAGGACGTGGAAGCCAACAGTTCAAAAGGCCAGAGCCAGCTTTCCCAAAGCAAAGCTAATTTCAAGGCACCTAAACGAAACCGCAGCCACAGCTTGCTGGGAGCCCAGCCTTCCCGAGGAACCCCCAGCGCCGGTGTGCTTTGCCTGATCCCTGGAGCTCACAGCATCTCCAGACCCTCGGAGCAGCTCATCCCACCCACCGGAGACCCAGAGCCGGGCTGTGGCCACGGGGAGCACCCAAGCAGCACCCCAGGCCTCACCTCCCCTCCCCCAGCACACAAGCTGCCACCCAACAGCATCCTCCTTGCATGTAACCAACTGCAAACCCCCGCGCGTGGGTGGGAAAGGGCCCTCACCTCTTCCTCCACGCCAGTGTAAAACATTTCCTCTGTTCTTCCCTTTCTAGGGAGAAGAGGGGAGCAACTACTTTGCATTCCTCAGCTCAGTGGCAAGGCAGGTTCATATGGAAGCTCCCAGAGCACTGCCCTGTGCTGCCACATGGGTGTTGCTAGTGCTGTCCCCGACGGTGACACTTACTGCTTCGAAACTCTTGATTTAAATAGTTTATTTAAAGCTTAATGCAGTTAACTTATTTTTCTATATATATATATATAAACAATTTATTCTCTCACTTCCCTAAATGAAAGCTAGATTTAGGGGGATACATTACTTGCCTTTTTTTTTTTTTTCTTTTAATACAGTCATTTGGTATACATATAAAAATATATTACTTGGGTTTCCTTTCAGTTATGGATCACACAAGGGTTGGGATGGAGAAAAGAACAGAAGACAAGCACAAGGACCTCCCCTCCCCAAAAATAAACAGTGAATTTAAGCATGTGGTGCACTTTCAATTTAGAGTGCAACAGCAAGCTAAGAAATCCATGTTCTGCCGACACAGCCATGGCATTACTCACACTTTCATCACCTTTCCTGGACTGCCTGGCACATGTCCTTGGTCCCAGAAGGGTCACATTTCAGTATGACATTACTGCACCAAAATCAAAAAGGCTGAACTTCAAAGATCTGGAAATCAAGTTTGGGGACCTCAGAAGCAGGTGGATGGCTGGGTTCTCTCCTCTTTCACACTGCAGGCTCACTGACTGCGACATCAGAAAGCATTAGGGACAAGGAGAACACAGCGAGGCTTGGCAACGCTTCTGCTGGCAGCAGGACACCTCGCAGAGCAGTCTCTCAACCCCTATCCCAGGGAGGAAGATGAAGAACACAGCAGAAAGGTGGACTCCAGAGTAACCCAGAGCACTTCTGCCTCATGGAAACAGCTTATAATGGCAAAGAGTAATCCAGGGAGGGAGTAAGCTGCAGCGTGTCACCATGCAGAGAGGGTGGAGGAACATCCTGCAACGCGAGAGGAGCAGACCTACGCAGGACCTCACCCGGAGGCCTGACAGCTCAGCTTAGACTCAGCCCTGGTGTCAAGAGAAAAATCCACATCAAAGGCCACAAAATTACCCGCGAGACGAAATTTAGCCCTTCCAAGTCCGCAGTTGTAGGAAACAGACTGCGCATACACTCAAAACACTGATCAAATATTTCTCATGGACCCAGCCAGGCACGTGGGTGTAGGCAACGACTTTGATACAACTCCAGGCTCGGCTGCCTGGCAGCTCTGCTCGCTCTCCCGCATCTCCCGTACCGATTCCCACCCACCCCGTGACACTCGGTCCCAGTTCAAAAACTTCTGATTCACAGCTGCTCTTTTCGCCAACTGCAGCCCGGCAAAGCCACCAACCTCTTCTGAGATCTGTCCCCCAGACAGGAGTGAGCTGCAGCGAGTACGTTTCATATTGGCACCGGTTTTGGCAATTACCACTGGGATGCAAAAGAACATTTAATAAATAATTAAGTAAACAAATAAATAAATCAACAACACTTCTGAACAGCCACCAAAAAGAACCCTTAAAAAGCAAAACAGGGTATCATAGCTGCAGTCTTCCCCTCCTCTTTTAAAGCAGGGTCTCTGCAGGAAACCAGGTTTATGTGACCACAGTGTCTGTGCCCATGGCTGTCGATCCTCCTCTATCATTTCTAGAGTTGCCCAATTTAAATCAAATCTGAGAAAGGGACAGAAGTGCAAAAAGTTTCTATGAGCGTCAAGAAAATAGGACAAAGGAGCAAGCTGAGGGGGGAAAGACCGCAGCATGAGTTCCCAAGTCATCGAGATCAGCGAAACCCAAAGGCAAAACCCGACTTCGGAGCGGCCCGGCTGCAGAGCTCGCCTGGAGTCGCCAGGCATGAAACCCAGGGGAAACGGGCTCGATCTGCAGCGCAGCTCCTAAAGCGACTCGCTTTCGGGAACACGCCTCCACCGCGCTACCGCCCTGCCTCCGCAGCCAGGCTGCCGGCACCGCTCACGGAGCTGCCAGGCAACCCAGGCTGTATCCTCGCTGTGCCGGTACTGTGGCTGGCACCTTCTGCCCCTTTTGCCATAAATTTAACCTTCAAACAGCGTCGTCAAATATCCCGCAAGGCTTTAAAAACGAACTGCACGGGAGAGACAGAGAGGGGAAGACGGACAGACAGACTAGCCTCAACATTAGCAG